ACGTAAGAAATCATTAACACACTAACAAGGCAGAAAGAATATCACAGGGAAAATAAAATTTGACTTGGTTATTGGCTTCATAAAATGCATCAAAGAGTACAGATAGTATGGCTGTTTCTGTCAGTGCACTTACATGGCACCACTTATTACTCTTTCATATTCTTTCATGTTACATTTTTTATTATGTCATTGACTTAAATCAGAGATCAACAAGCAAAGTATACCCTGAATCTACAAGTTTACCTATCTGGTGATATAAGAACAATATTGTAATGTGTCTGCATGTGGTGTTGTGGCTAAAGCAGTGTTGATAATACATCAATGTTTTGGCAATTGCTAAGCAGAGCCTTGAGGCACAGCCTTGAGGCTTTCTCTTCAGACACCCCCCACCAAAAAACAACAGGCTGGGCAAGAAATCAGGAAAGAACACTGCCAGGATAGCTGACCCCAACTGACCAAAGGGATATTCTATATCATACAACATCATGCTCAGTAATAAAAGCTCAGGGAAATGAGGAGGAATTGGGGACATTTGAGGTTATGTCTTCCTTAAGAAGCTGTTTCCCCAAATAACTCTTAGACATACCAAGGCCCTGCTTCCTGGAAGTAGTTTAAGATGTTAGTTAACACTACCCAAGGCAGGTAGTGAATAAGGTATTTATTTTGCTTTGCTAGCATATGTAGTTTTTTCTTTCCTTGTTAAACTCAAGCCACAAATATTCTCACCTGGCTTCTGTTATCTTCCCATCCCATGGGAGAGGAGAGTGAGCAAGAGGCGGGGTGGGTATTTGATTACCTGATTACCAGGTAGGGTCAAACCTCCACAGTGGCACCCAACATGGGGTTAGAGGATTCAAGATAACCACAGTAACTGGGAGAGGAAACAGGCAAGCAGTGAAGGGGTGAGGGCTGGAGGTTTATTGTCTGTCTATATTATCCATATTTGTTTGTGTTGTGACGACTTTACTTTTATATTAGTGTTGGAATCTGATTTTCATGCAAACAAAGTTCATGAAGAGTATGTGACAAATGTATATTTAAATGACAGCTCATAAATATGGGTGGAGAGAGGTGTTCTGATTTGAATTTGGTAAAACTCTAGTTTAATTGGAAATAAATTAATTTTCCCTAAGTCAGCTCTATTTTGCCTGTGACAGTAACTGAAAAGTGATCTTCTGTCTTCATCTTAACCCATGAGCTTTTACACCATATTTTCTCCCTCTGTCCTGTTGAGGAGGTGAAGTTAGAGAGCAGCTGCAGGGGGGAGTCTGGTAACTAGCTGGTGTCAACCCACCACAGCCATTTTAGATATAGGCTTCTTAATCCCAAACTTGCGCTGTGGTCTCCATCAGCACCTTTTATGCACATGTCTCTAAGGACAGCTATGATAAATCTAACAGCAAGAAACCATTGCAATTCCACATTTATTTCCCACTCACAGCTTGAATAATCAATTCACTCTGCTATGAACATACTTTTAAAGGTCTAGATGTCATCGGTAAAGCTTCTTCCTTGCAAACACTGATATTGAATTACAATGTTTTTCATTTCATCCATGGAAAGCAATACTTTTTCAGTAATCCAAGCAATTCTAATTGACAAAAAACATGCTCTTAATGTCTGTCATTCAGGCATCATAACTGTAAAAGCAATTTTCACCAGCACTACCAGTACAATATAATGAATATTATTGCCACTTGAACTAAAGTTCCAGAGAACTGAAAAATTAAAATTGACACAGGTAATGCATGAAGAAAATGAAGATCTTCACAAAGTGTTTTGTGGTGTGCTATATAAAGAAAAAAACACTGAACAAAAGGCACAGAAATGTGTCTCAGATCAAACCATTATATATATTCAAATTGTATTCACACATATTGGAACTGAGGTAAAATTTGGGTCAGATTAAAGTGTTTTAAAATGTAATCTCACCCTTAAATTGAAAAGGACCTCAAAAGAGAGTTGAGAAATAGGCATCACATATTAACTGATTGATTAAAAAAGAAGAAAAAATCCTTCACAATATTATGTTTGCAAATTATCATTGCAGAAAGCTAATAAATCCTGCAAATACATGTTTGTGTACTCTAAACAAATGCCTTAGTAAATTAATTAACTGGAGGCTAGAATGAGGTTTTGCGTATCTATAGCCTTGCCCTAGGGCTAATCCTAAATCTTATAACTGACTAAAATATTGTGCTTGGTTTTAATAGAAAATAGCTGCTTTTGCTCCCTTTAATAGATGACAGCTCAAAAAGGTTCTTTTATATCTCCTGAAATATCTAAACAGTGACAGTAAAGGAAAGCTCCTTTTATATATCTCCTAGGTGACACTTAATATGAATTCTATTCAGTTATCCTTGATGCCAGTCAAACAGAGAAAAAAAAAAAAAAAAAAAGCATCTACATTCCTATACTCAAGTAAAGTTATACTAAAACCTCCAAAAAATCAGTAAGCAGCTTCATATTCCTTTACATTATGGTTAAAGTAAAATTAATATATATATATTAGATATTTAGATTAACATTTGGGCTTGTGTTTCAATAGCTTATTCTAACTGATCATCGACATATACATCATATGTAAACACAATGCAACTATGAAACATAGCTGTATTGCTAGCTTCTTATTACTGCCTGGGCAATATTGCCTGGAAAATTACCAGCTGGACAATATCTTCTTTAGTGCAGCCAGTTCTGGCAGTTTATGATTACACTATGCTAAGACTCTTCCTCTTTAAGACCACTTGTAAGACCTCTTCCTCTTTTAAATAGGAAAAGTGCTTCTTCATTCCATTTACTGTTGGCTTAGACATTGTATTGTACATGCATCTACTTTAGAATTCTTTAAGATCTTTAAAAGACAGCTATTCTCTGTCTTCCCAAGTTAAGGTTAATCACTAAAATACAGTATGTATGAGTAGCGTGCATTGAGCAAAAAGACTAATCTAGGAAATAGTAATCTTTTAATATTCAGTTTTGATACTCAATTTGGATCTTGAAAATTGAAGGAGTTACTGTAGCCCCATCGTATTTTTTTCTCACTCTTTTTGCAAAGTTAAAGCCAAAAATGGAATCTTTTCCAGGACAACCTCTACATGAACACTGCCACATAGTATATTTATCAGTTTTTCACTTGCTTAACTTTGAAGGAACTACAAAAAAATTGAAGCTTTCCTTGCTGATTGAAAATACCTTTTTCTGTAGTCTCTCTTCTTACAAGACCTTTTTGTTCTGTCTTTATTGTTTCCCACTGAGAAATGATTCCACATGGTATAACTGCTAGTAACTTTGTTGTCCAAAACATATATTTCAAAATAAAGCAGAAAGCTTTATTATTATTATTAGCTGCAGCTTTGTTTTCAGATATCTTTAGCAATTTTCACTACAATTTTTTCCCAGCACATATACATCCTTGCCCCTCCTCCAAAACCTCAAAACATTACAAGCCATAGGAAAAATTGGATGAATTTCAAAGTAAAAATAACTTTGTTTTTTAGTACTAGCTGTATATCAATTTTATATCAATCCTAGATACACAACTCTTCATGGGCCAAGAATAGAAATTTTGTGGAGGATCACTGAATCAAAGCTATAGAACTTATTTTATATCCAATCCAAATATATCCAAATTTTATAAAACGTGTTTATTATTATTAATCCAAAGCATTTAAAACTTCATTAGCTAAGCAGACAAAGCCTTTGATTAAGGTACAATTACTCTTTTTCTCTCTGATTGCTTTACTCTAAGTCCTAGACAACAGTTGGGTCAAGTTTCTCTCAAACAGAAAGACCAGAAACCATTCTGAATTACTAGACCTATGCTTAAGGATACATTTTGGAGGATGTGTATGTCAAGGCACACTTCTGCTCCACTCACACTCTCCTTCAGATGAAATGGGACCCAGTTCTGCTATAGTAGCAGAGTACCACTTTGCTAAAGCTACAAAATAAATTGAGAACACTAGCCTGATATCCAGGTCCTTTGGAACACCAACTGGTGTGACCCTCTCTGCCCAAATACCTGGTTTTAAAGTGTAAAAAAAAAAAAAAAGTCTTTAAATCAAATACTTGAGTTTCTAGTTTAAAATAAACAAGCCTTAATAACAGGTTGCAAACTTCTACACCTCTAAAACCTCATCTCTAAAAATAGGTAGAGGAAATGTGTTTTCTACTGATAATCAAATAAGAAATCTCAGATTAAGGCAGTACATTAGAAATTCTCTTGCTGCTTTACCACACATTTTTTACCAAGGGATGACAGCTGAGATGAGACCTCAGAGGCTGAGAGTGAAGAAGCATCAGAATCCAAATGAAAACTCCAACCAGCTTGCTTGAAATCTGGGTGTGCTGACCTACTGAGTAGCTGAAATGTGTTAGAATTAAAGCTTCAAAAAAAATTTTTCAGAAGGAAGTATGTGTAAGGAAAACATTTTAATTTTTCATGACAGATGAAATTACAACATTCTGTTAAAAGCATGTTTTTTCAGTCAATGAAATTCTCTTAAAGGTTTGTTGACAGCTGCACTGAATCAGGATACTAAAACATGCTATAGCCATGTGAGGTCTTAAACTCAGTCCAGTGGGTTATCTTAAATGCACATTGGAACTGGAAAATAAGGTTTTTCTCTATTTTTAGCATGCATTTGAGATAACCTTTTTGTTCTGATTACTGGATATTTTTGTCCTTCTGATTGTAACGCAAAATGTTGCATCTTATTATTGGCATTAATGAACATTGAAATATTTTATCTTCAAGCTCAGAACATGACAAAAATACTCATTTAATAATTATAGGCTGCCACTGCCCCTAATATATGTATTAGACTGAAAAATGTCCATTTCTGTTAAGTTATTTAGCCATCACACTGAATATACTTGCATCAAGTATATTGCAGCAAACTAGGAAACATATTTTCCCCTTCCCCTGCTTTAGCAAAAAGGTGAAAGCCACATTGCTTCCCCTCCATTCCCCTTCTCCCCCTCCGCCCCCCCCAGAACAGGCTGCTTTTCCTGTCAATCTTATATAGACTTCAGCAAAAAGAAAATGTAACTACACATTCAAAAGAAGAAAAAGACAAGGACAGATTTGTTTTGTATCACTTAATACATGACATGAATAACTGAAGCTTTTTTCTCTTCAATTTCTATGCACAGATGCCATCGTTTAGAGTGAAAACACTGCCCCCACTCAAACTGTTTACAGGTGTTATTAGACACCATAAAATCAAAATCACATGCCTGAAAGTATATTCTGAAAATAGTGAGCTTCTGAAAAGTACATATTGATTAGGCAACTTGCCTTGGCATGAGGTTTTAACTTTCTCCATTAGGGACAATTAAAATTTTTCTTTTGGTCTAAAACTTGGTTAATTTTTTTCATTAATTAGCAATGCTATATAACGCTGATGCACCATAACTGTGTCATGAAACACTGTTGAAGAAAAATGAAGGAACTGCAACATCATATTTTAGCAGTGTGGAGAAGCACACTAAATATAAATTCTGAATGCTTTAGAAATGAACAATTAACAACCTGTAAATGAATGATTTAGAAAGTTTGTTATAGGTATGTTTGATAAAGCACATTTACACCTGTCTAATCAGAAAACTATTGCTTAAAACAGTCCCAAGATGCTGATTACTATCAATACATGAATAATAAAGAGCTAGGCAGCTTTTCTCATAGCTGGAGTTTTGTACATCAAGCAAGAAAAGCTTTGTAATAAAGTAGCTCTGGTAGCTCTGTCTGATTCAGAATTGCCCTCAACGCTATCCAAAGTGATGGTTCAACCTTCATTACACTAGGAGAATACAACTCATACATAGAATGTTACAGTTTGACATCTTAATGCAACAGACTCCTACAAAACGCTACAGCTATAGCCCCACAGCAGGAAGTCATCTCTTCTTGGCACTGAATGGCTTACTAGGCTGGCACAGCACTGTCCATCTGGAGACACAGGGGCTGGACCAGGGCCCACAGGATGCTCCTGGTTCCCCACAGGACACTGTGGAGGAAAAGCTGAGCAGTGAGGAAGGGGTTGCCACCACAGCCCAGGCCCCCAGCCAGTGACAGAGCAAGCATTTGGCAGCAGTGGCTTCTGCTTGCATCCCCCTTGGCAGTAGCAGATCACCTGTCTGTGCCAGACAGAGCACACTATGATGATCTCTGGCAGTGGCAAGAGGGTCTGGAGAGAGAGAAAAGAGAAGGGAGTGGTAGGAAAGTGTCCCTAACATTCCTGTAGCAAACTTGGTTGCAACACAGCCTTAAAGGCAGTAAAATCAAGCATGCTGCGTGGATGAAGGCAAGTCCATATCTTCTCTCAGTTCCAAGAAAATATCAGTGGAAAGTGGATTCTTAAGAGCCTGTACATGAAGGCTAGTCTTTGCTGTGAAATTTTCTTGAGGGTGTTCATATTTCTGCAGGAAAAAATAAATAAATAAGAAACAGATATTTTTTTTTCATCAGAGAAGGAGATCACTGGATATACTCAAATGCAAATGACCTTTATTAATCCCACTTTATTCCCCTACAATCCTGGCAACTAGCACAGAGCAGGGGTACAACATAACCACTAAAAGAAAGTATCAAATGAGTTCACCTGAAGGGGGAAAGAAAGCAAAAAGTGGAAGCAAATCCTGCTAGAGTCTCGCCTACTGCCATTTTGCTTGCCCTGACATCTCACCCATGAGCCATGACTTCAGCCCTTCCTTCCCTTCCTATTCCATGTAAGACAAGGCTTTTTTACTTAACGGTTTGCCATATTCAAGCCCAGGATAAATAATAATGAGTGAATCTCAAAAGATTTCAAGGTTTAATTCAGAGAAACATCTGAACGGACTTACATCCTCTCAAACTTAATGAGCTGAAGAGCTCATAGGAATCAGGTCTCTGCTGACATTTCCAGTAACCTGTTTTTAAAATAACTGAAACATTACAACAGCCTCTCCCGGTCCTTCATTATTTCTTTATATTTTCCTATGCAAAATCAGACATATTAGAACATGGGGGGAAACAACAGAATGAAAGAAAAATGCTATTTAAAAGTATTTCAAGTTTTGAACAAAAAAAAAAGGGGGGGGGGGGGGGGGGGGATAGCTAGCTAGTTGTAATAGAGACCAAAGAAACAATCTGACTTTCGATCATAACAATGTCACACTTTTGGCAAAGTGTGAGATCTTCTTCAGTACAGTTTAATTTGCAATTTGCTTGTTTAGGCTATCAAATCGTGCTAAATATGGATTATCATTTTTAGATAAAATAATCCTTGTCAACAAAGAGTATTCCTTTTCCACAGGTCATTCACTGATACCTAAGATTTACTTTAGTCTTAGCATGGATTTAACACAAAGTAGGCAGCACTGACACTAAATTTGCTGTATGCAGCCTTGAAATTAACTTACAGATAAGGTTTTTAAAATCAGTGAAGCTGATGTCATCAAACTCTGTTCAAATACACAACCTTTCTTAATGTGATGTACATTTTTATTGTGTTATAATTTTCAGTCTTTCCAAAGTGTCAGGCTGTATGATTTCCAAGTTACGTGATAGGAGTATTCATTACTGAAATACCTGCATCCTTGATAACTCAACCCCCACAGGGTTAACTTCAGTTTAATATCCAATTTCAGTCCCATGAATTCTCCGTGCAGAAGCTGTCCCCTACAGCCATGGCACTACGTCACCCTATGGCACCATTAAGGGAAAACTGCATTCTGGAACAGATTGTTCCCTGCTGTAATGCCTTTGAAGCCACTTCAGTTTCATCAAGAATGAACTCAGATCACAGACTTTTAAATTGGACCCCTCAGTATCTATTGAAGGAAATCTAAAGAATGACCCGTTGTTTCAAAAAAATTCTCACGGACCTTTTTCAAGTACTCCTGTGTATTGTTTCTTGACAGGGTCATTTTACGTATGATATTAGTCTAATCTAAAATGTACAATATCTTCTGAATTTTCCAAAACACAATTACCTTTAAAGTATCTGAAATGAAAAGGTCATAGCAAAGATGTTCTGAGTGGATTTAATAAACTGAAAATAGGTCTGGGTCTCCAGTTCTGAAGTAGGGCTTGTCTATGATTGCTAGTATCCCCAATTTCAAGCATAAAAAAAAAAAAGTAAAAAAAAAAAGTAAAAAAAAAAAGTTACTTCTTTAGTTGTTAAACTAATTATCCTTACTTTTCTCTTACGTATAACATTTTTTCCATTCCCTTTCATTTTCCCTTGTATTGGCTCAATCTTTCTGACCTCTGAACAAGGATGTCAGGAGTTTTTCCTATTGTATTTGATTATTCTATGGTCTGGAGGTTCTTCTTCCATGTTTTAACCTGTCTAAAAAGACTGGGAGGTTTTATTAGCCTCAGGGATACAGAAGTAGCTAAACTTTTGCAAGTTTCACATCAACTGCAACAACAACAACAGAAGAGAAATAGAATTTTATGTGACTTTACCCCAAATAACCATGCCAGTCTGTTTGAACTGAGTGGGGGAAAGTATGCAATTCCATAAAATCAAACAGTCCACAATATGTTCAGTATTTTGATGAACTCACAAGGAGGCTACAGTCACACAAACTGTAACACAGTAATCAGATGATTTTTCTCCATATAAAATGTTAAAATTACAGAACACATTAAAAAAAATAATAATCTAAAACTACACTATCACAAGGGTATATAAGGCTTGGTTGTTTTGTTTTTGCTGTTATTTCTTTGTTCTGTTATTTCTTGAAATCTAGATACTTTATCCCCAGTAATATGAAAAATTTTTTTGAAAACTTAAAAATGACTAAAAATCATGGAACAAGACACTTATCTCTTTCTGATTTACATTCAGATAGAGTTCTGCTGTTGGTTAGAGTAATAGGAGTTCACTCATTATTTTGAAGCAAAACACAGCACCTCTCTCACCCATTAAAATAGCGAGAGCTGCACACCATCTTTTCTCCACAGTTATTCCTAATAAAAAGGCACCCACAATGGGTCTGCCAAACCTCTCTCACCTTCTCATACTGCTCCCAGAGCAGCTCGTTCCAGGAGACTGATACAAACATCATGTTAGTGGTACTGATTTTGGCAGAGGAGTGGGAGACTAAGAGCTAAATTTCCTTTTACTGTCTCAGCTAAATCTACATCTGTCAGTCATGTTATAAAGACTGTGAAAGGAGTTGAAAACAGAAGAAACTCCCTACAGATATCCTCTGTTCGTGTACACAGTTTAACACCTAGACCTGCACAGAATAACGTTGTTTTGTACAAGAGCTATGCTTGGTCAGAACAAGCTCCATCTCACCCACTTTCTTCTGGCTCTGATGATTAGCAGCAGTGAGCACTTAAGCATAAAAAAAATAAGCAATTATGTAGTAATACTTTTCTTGAATATTCTTCCATCTCTTGACTTCAGACAGAATTTGTCTAGTGAGACAGTGTAACTCATTTCCTCAAAAAAAAAAAAAAAAAAAAAAAAAAAAGTACAAAAGAAATTGTTGGTCTCCAGAATTAGAAACTGTATTACTGGGGTAACAAACTGTAATGGACAATACACTATCCATATCATAAAATCTCTTGCTACATTTTTGCCATTAGTCATATAGCTCCTAGATTTCAATATATTATGTTTATGTATAAACAGGGTCCCAGTAGGATTCCATGCCCATTGTAATAATTAGTTGCTTTATTTATTGTTTCTCAACAGAGAAAAAAAAAAATATACTTTTTGGTGCACCTGACCAAGGATAAACAGTGCATCAAAACATATTTTCTACTTATTTTCTCACAACAGTCCATCATTATTAGGACTACTAGGAATACACTATTAGGAATAAATTTGGTTTCTAATTATTTGGTGCAACCTTAAAATTGTTGACTTCTCAGATAGATGTATTCTTCCCAAAGACAAAAATGTATGCGTGTTAAAAACCCAGCTTGAATTAAGGTTGTACAAGTAATTAAGTATCAGGTTTCTTAACAACACTACCACTTACTATGTATAAATAAAACATGTAGAGTCGGTATGCTTAGCATTATTTGGACATATGCCAAAATTCCTGATTGCAGCTGGCTAATTGCTGTATGGTTTTAGATACTATAGCATCCGTTTTTAATTTTGTCACTTGTCTACTGTGACAAAATTACTAACAAGAGCAGAAGCTACAATTAAAACTTCTGCAATATGCAAAGAGTGGCAAGAATGTGAATAATATCCATGTAACAGAACTTGACTAGGGCAGTCTTTAGCCTACGCTTTTCCTGAATTCAGTTGATCTTTGGCAAAGCTCCATTGCATTCTTCTCACAATATCTAAATGTTGTCACCTGTGGCTGAATGAGCTTATTCCCCGGAACTAGAAAAGAAAGGAAAGAATTAATCCACTGCTGTGTTATAAAACAGTTAAGTTGCTATACACACAAAACATTGTATAAAATCACCAAATCGAGGCAAAGGAAATGCAGAAAGGCTGACAGTTGCCACTGCCTTGTAAACACAATCATTCCACTGCATGCTTTTATACATCTTCTTCTGAGACCCTACCTACTAGGAGTTAAGTGATTATATGAGAACATCATGCCCCATTAAATTCTACAGTCTCTGCCTTCATAGCTGAAAAAACACTTCAAATTACTACAAGAGTACAGCTTGAGAAGTGAAAGTTGGAAACACATGACTCTAAAGTGTAATTTCAGATTTTTAGAATGATCTTGTGACTTGAGAATTCACCATTTTCAAATGCTCAAATGTTACGATGTGACATAAAGCCTTTATTTTGCTTCCTAGACACAAGCTTAATTTCTCCCTTCTGTAGCTACCACACATCAAAGAGTTCCACCTTTTCCTCCTTAAACATATCATCTTTCCAACCACTCACATCAGATTATATTACCAGTTTCTTGAATACTCCTGAATGGACAAGAGAGGCAGTTTACAAAGACAGGAGGGCCAGAATCCTTATGTGATTTCCTCTTACTCAAGTTAATTGTAACCTTGTTCTTGAAAGAAGCTGGAGGACAATATTTATCAACATTTTTATCATCCCACACCTAGATCAAGGCACTCCCAAAAACAAATACAGGATGAGTAATGACTGGATTGAGAGCAGCCCTTTGGAGGACTTTGGGTTGTCAGTGAATGAGCAGCTCAACATTATCCAGCAGTGTGCACTTGCAGCCCAGAAAGCCATCCATATCCTGAGCTGCATCAAAAGTGTGGCCAGCAGGTCAAGGGAGGTGATTCTCCCCCTCTACTCTCTCTCATGAGACCTCACCTGGAGTACTGTGTTCAGTTCTGGGGCCCCCAGCACAAGAATGACATGGACCTATTGGAATGAGTCTAGAGGAGGACCTCAAGGATGGTCACAGGGCTGGAGCATCTCTCCTAAGAAGATAGGCTGAGGGAGTCAGGGTTGTTCAGCCTGGAGAAGAGAAGGCTCAAGGAAGACCTTATAGTACCCTTCCAATACCTAATGGGGGCCTACAAGAAAGCTGGAGACTCTGTCAGGGAGTACAGGGTTAGGACAAGGAGTAATGGCTGTAAGCTAAAAGAGGGTAGGTTTAGATTAGATATGAGGAGAAAATTCTTCTCTCAGATGGCTGAGGCACTGGAACAGGTTGACCAGAGGACCTGTGGATGCCCCATCCCCAGAGGCGTTCAAAGCCAAGCTGGATGCAGCCTTGGCCAACATGGTCTGGTGGGAGGCATCCCTGCCCATGGCAGGGGGTTGGAACTGGGTGGTCTTTAAGGTCCCTTCCAACCCACACCATTCTGTGACTCTATGATTTGTTATTTATATAAATAAACATAAACAAAACCAGCATGGGCCAGAATTTTTAACTTGTCTGTTTAAAATAAATAAATAATAAAAAATAGGAAAGTCATAGTAATCTCTCACTATGGAAATTATTTGAGAAGCAAA